TCCAGATTTGTGTTTGTTGAGATAATTAATGCATGTAATTAATGCATGTGTCTATTGACTGTTTGACTGACTCTCAGCCATTGGATTCATCTAGATCCAATGGATGATATTGGTTTTTAGTTTTTAGACTAATGAGGTTTTTATTAGAACCTCTCCCTAATAATTAATGCATGTGTCCGTTGACTGTTTGACTGACTCTCAGCCATTGGATTCATCCAATGGATGATATTGGTTTTTAGTTTTTAGACTAAGGAGGTTTTTATTAGAACCTCTCTCTCAAGTGATCATCAATGACTAAGAAACTTAGTGGACGTCCACTTAAGTTTACATAAGTTTTGCTCTCTCTCTCTCTATATATATATATATAGGGAGAGGTTCTAATAAAAACCTCCTTAGCCTAAAAACTAAAAACCTCCTTCATCCATTGGATCTAGATGAATCCAATGGCTGAGATTCAGTCAAACAGTCAACAGACACATGCATTAATTACCTCATTAATTACCTCAACGCGGTGAATCCAGATTCACTACTTCAACGTATCTCGAATCACTGCAGTGAATCCGGATTCACTGCGTTGATGTAATTAATGCATGTGTTTAATGAGGTAATTAATACATGTGTATGTTGACTGTTTGACTGAATCCTAGCCATTAGATGAAGGAGGTTTTTAGTTTTTAGGCTAAGGAGGTTTTTATTAGAACTTCTCCCTATATATATATATAGTAAAATTAATATAAATTTTTAGTATTTTTTTGCAAAAAAAAAAAATCAAATAAAAAATAAAACAAATCCGGACCGCCTTTGGACAGGCCTAACAGGCCACGAGCCTCCTACCTTGGTCACCTCATGAGAGAAAATAGTAACATTTGCTATTGGTCGGCCTGCTCTCGGCCGAATCTCAAGGTCGTCAGCCACTTTGATAACGCCTCTTTCTCATATTTTATTTTTACTGAGGTACCTCGTGCTCGATCCCCTAATAGTGAACTGATCAGTCTCACGAACTTCGAAGTCGTACTTTATTGTTATTCTGGATCAATCAATATCAAATTCGCATAGTCTTATTTTATTTATTTACTTGATCTCATATATTTTTTAGAAAAAGGATGAAACTATGCATGACGAGTCCCCGGCCACTTGCGTCGGTCAAAATGGACCGCTTACAAAGAAAGAGACCGCACGTCCCGCTCTATTAACTGAGATCATAGTTAGATATGCACATAGTTGAAATATATTATGATAGATAATGACTATTAAGGATATCGTTTCTAAGTTTTCCCCCCCTTGACCTTGTAGTCTTGTGGATATGCGTGCTTCAGTAATTGGCCAAATTTCTCTATCCACCCTAAACCGAACGTCTTTATCTCACTTCAACAATTTTGGATGAAGGAAAAATGTTGGCGCACAAACTGATGTAATCAGTAGGTGTCATTTTAAATGACCGACTGGTTGCGTTATCATTTGTCAATTTATATACACGAGAAAATAAATAACTATATATGATGTGGTAATGTGATTGCACTTAATTAATGATACATTCAAGGAGGGTTGATAGAAATTGCACTTAATTAATACATTCGAGGGGGGAAGGATATGTCCTCTTATTTATTGTTAAGCAAAAGGTCCCTTTCCAGCATGGATTGACTATAAGAATAGGAACGAGTCCCTGTTCTTTTCTAATCTTTTTAATTAATACTGATGGAGCTGGCTTGGTCATTGGCAGTCAACTTTAAGATCAACAAGGATATATATCATCATGAATGCTGATAGAGAGTTGGTCAAAACTTTAGTATTAATTTAATGGTTCCTTTCTGATAAATTCAAAGTTTTTACTCCAATTAACCCGCATGGCTAGCACAGTGGGTTAGCCCCGTGTTCGAATTTTCCAGTAGGGCCAGCGCCTGCAACAAAGCGTGAGCAGAGATTACTCTCATCCATAATAAGGCGTGGGGATAGCCCCGTGAGAAACAAAAAAAAAAAAAAAAAACTTTACTCTTAAGTTATTTTTTAAACCCACCCACTTCCAATATCGATTGCTCTTAAACCAAAAAAAAAAAAACTTGTTGAATGGTTCTTAAAGCCACTTTTGATTTCAACGCTTTTGGGTACGTAGTACAATATTATTCCAATATCGTAAGTTGTTATATTCCGTATAGTAAGTTGATGTATTATCAAATTGCTGAATACATAGGGCATGCATGCTTAAAAATAATTTAGCAATTACGTACGTCTAAGGGTAATATTAAAAACAGATGGGTTTAAAAACAAATAGGAGTAAACCGTGGGCTTGTAAGCGACCGATCGAGTTTGGAACGGCATATATATATATATGATCGAGAGAGGGAATCTAGCAGCGAGCAAACCTGCACCAAGGAGCAAGCTAACAAAACTAAAGTGTACGCCCTCCACGTCATCGCCAGCGGTGTGAGGTCTGATCTTATCTGCTCTCGGTAGAATGGTGCTCAGGCTCAGGGCCAGCGAGTTCCGTGTGGAAACCGCATGCGCCGATCCCATGGATGCGTCATTAATTAAAAAACGAATAATATTTATGCGAGAGAGAGAGAGAGAGAGAGAGATGAGCTTTGAACAAGTCAAGTCGGTACGTGCGACATGTGAGAGGCTGAGACCCCATGTGGGATTAATCTGGCGTCTCTCTCTCTGGTGGACCCCAAGCGTCCTTTCGGTCGCGTTCGATCTTTTTTATTTGCAAATTAATGGCTAGAGTTTAATTAATGAATTAATTAATTAAGTTCTTGCACCAATTTTTTTTTTTTATGGAAGTAACTTCGTGTTCTGATTGGGTACGCAGCACGAAGTTACCCATAACTTTCTCCTCTAATTATTATTACCTCAGCAAACTTCTTTGTGCTTAAAAAAAAAAAGAAAAAGGAAAAAAACTTTGTACTACCTCTTTAACTTGAGAATCCTCCCTCTCTTCCCCTCTCCCGTGGGCCCAACCAAAGGAACTTTAGGCATCTTAAGATTTTAACGAATTATAATAAAAAAGAAAAAAGAACTCAAAATGCTTGTGCATTTAATGATTGTTGGAATTTTTTTCTTTTGAAAGCCTGCCAAAGTGTCAATTTTTGGCAGGCTTTCAGCTTAAATCACCTCTAAAAAAGAAGATTTTGGTCGAAAGCCTGCCAAAAAGAGACATTTTTGACACTTTTGGCAGGCTTTCAAGAGAAACTTTCCCTTAAAAACAGGGAACCAAACAGCCCCTTAGGGAGTTCACCATGCAATGTCATATATTAGCGCTCCTAAGTGAGGAAACAAGCAGTGCCTAATAAGAGCTGATCCATTATTAGTATGTAAGAAAAGGAGGATTATGATTTAAACTATTAGGGGCTGTTTGGTTCGTTTCCTTGATATAGAGAAATGCAATTCCATGTAAAGAAACACAAGTTTTGAGTTTTTCAAACTTTTCCAAGAAATAGATTGTTTTGTTTTGGTTCGCACATAAAAAATGGTGGGAAACCAATGTATTTATTTTTCTTGTGTTTGGTTCGCATAGAAAAAAAAAGAAAACTTTTATAAACAAAGCAGAGAAGGAAAAAAAATCTGACGTGGCAGAGTTTTTATCAATTTCACTTGGTTGGGGAAGGAAATCGAAGAGGAAAAAAAATCTTAGTTGGCGGCGATTTCAGCAGAGTTTTCTCTCTTTCATCCGAGCGAACCAAAGCGGCACAAAGAAATGGACGGAAACAAAAAAAACTGACGTGGAGGGCTAAAAATCTGACGTGGAGGGGTTTTCTGAGTTTTCCACCCCTTATAATAGCGAACCAAACAGCCCCTTATTTTCAAAAGAAAAGAATAAATGACATGACGGAGTATCGTCATACTAACAGAAACATATATTTTTAATCTCTCAACTCGAACTTAGTTACTTGCATCAAATTAAGATGATCATGCTCATTTTATACTATAATTACAAAAAATTTAGAGCAATAATGCGTTTAACTAGAGGCAATAACTCTCTCTCAACATCAACATGAATGAAACTTAAAAAAAAAAAAGAGAGTAGATGAACATGTTCAAGTGAATTTCTAGATAGGGCCGATCTTGTAGAAAATTTTAGGACACATTTTCTTGTAGCCTTTTCAATTGATCTTGTCAGCGACATAAAATACAGGTCTAATGTTTACTTTTAGGGGTTTAGTGCGATTTTGCAGGGGAAAAAGAATATACAGATGTTTAAAGTTGATTAGAGAATGACGTGGAAGTAATTAGTGGTCTACCAGTTATAGTAAAAAGAGAAGGCTGCTGATATCATTTACGTTACTTTTTTCCATGTTAGCGCATAACATTTTAAGATTTTGAAATTAGTCCCTCAAATCACTAAAAATTGCTTCGACTCTTATATTTTATTTCAAAATTAGCCACTCAAATGATTGCAATTCCTATCAAGCCCCCCAATTCCTAAGACTTACAGTTAGATGGACCTAATTGCAATTTCAATGATTTAAGGAACTAATTTCATTTAGGATTAATTCACATAATCTATGAGCTTTGGGGTTTTTCACATAAAACCCTTTTCAAGCAACTTGCCTCCCTCTCCTTAAATTTAAAGTTTTCGATCCCAAGAAAATTTCGTTCGTTTTTATTTACAAGTTTCGTGTGGGGAGGCTGTTGAGAAAAAATTCGAAGTTTTAAGGAGAACAAAAGCGGCTGCTGATAGCGATCACTTTCGTGACTGACTGTCCCTCCCACTAATCAACGCTCAACACAATCTCACGTCCTTTTTGACCTTTATTAACAACCCTTCTTCTTTATTATAATAACTAAAAAACTACTAGACTCTAGAGAGAGAGAGAGAGAGTGATTATCATCAGCAATAAAAGAGAAGCATATTTATGAATCCCTTTCTAAAGGATTAACAAAAAAGAAAAAAGAAAGTCAGTTTCCTCGTTGATTCTAATGGAAGAAGCAAGAACAAAAAATATATATATATCGCCTTCTATCATTTTAAAACTTTAATCTTTAACCTTCACTCTCTCTCTCTCTCTCTACCCCCTCCTTTTCTCTCTGCCTTTGCGTTGTTTCCTTTGTCTCTTTGTTTCTCTCTCCTTCCACTTGTGCTCTCCCCCTCTCTCTCTCTCTCTAGAGATCTAAGGTTAGCGGAAACTTAGCAGCTAAGCCTCGGCCTGAATCCGAATCCAGGGCCTTTTCGAGGTAAGCTTCTCTACGTCTCTATGGATTTCAAAGATCTAGCAGGAGTTCGGCCATTACTTACTTTTTCTATATTTTGTTCCGCGGGGCTCCCGGAGAGCTCGCTCTCCGGTTTGATTCCTCGCATTGAGTTCTTTCAGATCTGAGTAGGCACTGGATTTTTTTTTTTTTTGGAATAAAGACTTGGTGTTTCTGTTTGGTGGATTTGGGAATTTTGAGGAAACAATTTAGTTGGGTTCTTTTTCTAAGTTTTATTAAGCAGGGGCAGGTGAGGGGTAGAATCTGTACTTGTTTTAATCAATATTCCTAGTGTTTTTTTTTTGAGTTGGTTGT